TTGAATCAGTTTTAATTTCAGGCATCTTGCTAAAATCCTTGAAACCACAAAACTAAATATTATTACCCTATCTCCCTTAGACACATACACACATATAGCTCCACTCCACTCCTCCTTTTGTCATCCACTTTGTGGTGTCTAGTGTGGTACTGCTTGTTTACAGCACAGCAGAGTTAATTAGCCGTTTTATGGCTGATTTACAGGCCAACAGGCAGACAGAGAAGACGCCTGCTGCCTTGTCCTTGTTGCCCGCACAAGGACTTGTCGAATAGGGCATTAAAAACATTAAACCTGCATGAGCGCACAGACAAGTGGAATTTGCATTTGTACATATGTATACATATGACAACAAAAAATAATTCCATATGTACACTCAACACACACAAATATGACCCAGCTCACCTTGATGAGTTTGTCTAATCTTAATAACTCATGAGCAGTAGCTTTAGGGAAGAAAGAGCTGAGAGAACACCTCTTATGACAGAAATTCTCAAATAAATGTGAGGCACATATTTCAACTATTAAATTAATCAGTAACTATTTTTGATGATTGATTATTTGGTTGGAGTATTTTTTAACAAAAATGTCAAAATTTTCTTATTCTAGCTTCTTAAACGACACACCTGAAAAACTACTTTGGGGAATCCCAGCAGAAACCGATACAGTATGCTGCAATGACCCAGATGCGAGGAAATGCCAGCAGATCGCGCTTCATCCAGCCAGAGGGAACAATCACCATTCACCATTCACCAATCACCACGACCATCAGCACCGTGCCCGGTCACTCCGATCTCCCGTCCCTGGCCCGGTACGCCCCCAACACCCTATTCCCCCATCGATACCTACAATGGGTTGTGTCGCTGTTACGACAGGTGCGCTGTGAACAGTTGGTGATCATTCCCTCTGGCTTGTTGAATTTTACGCGTGATCCTTGCACTTGGCGTTTTGCACCTTCCTTTCGTACGTATTAAATACAGATGCTGTTGCACTCACATGAAATTGCGTTCAGGCTTGGTAGATCACATTGCGTGTAGTCAATAAATGTACCCTCCCGTTACTTTGCACAATAACAATGAAACACCCCAAATTGCAAAGTACTAAATGAACAACAGGTGCTATATTACACTTTTGAAAGACGTCATTCTGCGTGCACACTGTTAGTAGATCAGCTTACGTGTTAATTTGCTGGTGATATCAAGTTTGCACACGTTTTTACTCACGCAAACTTTTTGTAAAACAGGCCCATGGTGTCTTCCAATATATTGTGTATGGGGAGACGGCAAACAGAGTAGTGACACGATTTAGTACCAAACCAAATCTGAAGAATACTTCCTCTCTGGGGATATTTATCTTTCCTAGACCTACAGAGATTGTCCAAATAAGGTTATTGTTCACCCATCTATACATGTGGGAAGATTCTATTGGATATTGGTTTAAAATAAGACACTATGTTTAAGCAATCCAACGTCTACCTAAGTCATGTTGTGTGTCATTCAAGTCACATGCAACACTGTCTGTAATAAAACAAAATAAAGATAATCTCCACCTCGTGTTACCTAGGAGACGGATCAGAGTGCATCCTTACCAAGACAGCTGCGTCAGTCTATCAAGCAGGCAGGCAGAGAGGAGAGACAGAGTCCGACTACTGAGTCACAGGCTGTCACCTTTGGCCAGCAATTCACCTAACATGACTTGGGGTCACCTGTGTCAGAGTACCTTTAAAATTCCTTCAAAGTTTATGTGTATGCACTTGTCAAAACATTGTTCTACATTGTCATTTGTTCAGTTGAACCAGTAAAGCCTTTAGTCAGCTCAAGCTGTATGGGTGTAACAGATGCACCCAAACAATGTACAAACACACGTTCAGATATATACAGTATATATGTTATTAAAAAAAAATAATAAGTCCCCTAAAAAAAACTAAATTGGATTTAAAATTATGTGCTCCAGGCTAATCCAAAAGTAACTTTAAGATGGACTGTGAGAAGAGAACATTATCATTATCATATTTGTCACGTATCTTTGTTTATTCCTTAATTTGACTAAAATGATTTCTAATAAAAAATGTCAAAGCATTTAGCAAGCCTGAGACTGTAATCAGCATCAGTTTGTTCTGCTTGAAAATACCTTGTGTTTACGCCTCTTTCTTTGAGAAACAAAGGCCGAAGTGATAATTTCTTATTTCGATATTAGCGTTATACTGCTGTAAACCCTCTTGGGGGTAGAGGTTGGGTTAGATGGTCGGGTGTACTCTCTGACACCAGAGACCTTTGCTTGACTCCACTGCCAACATTTAACATTTTTTCAAGCATGTCTTAAAGCAACCCTCACATGCCCACGTCTATATAACACTACTGGTCACCTAGGTTCACAGTTCCAATTCCAAAGTTAACTGTAGATTTTGTCCCCCATCATTAAAATCACTTTAGAAAAGGGATCTATTTGCAGTAAATATAGACAGGAGGAACAATTACAGCTGCTACGTCAATGTACATATGAGCACGTGTGGGTTCTTTTAAGACAGACTTGATTAAAATGTGAACCGGATTTCGGTTTTGGAAGGAATTGTTTTTTTTAGACTACACAAAGTAAAAAAACAGCATTGTTGTCTTTATCAGGCTGTTTACAAATCTATGTAAAATCCCAACTACAAAACAAACCTCTGGAACCCAAATTTTAAATGCCTAGTGTGCCTCATTTGTAGATGAAATTAATTATCATTTCTTTGTAAATATATACCATAATAAAGCAAATCATGATGCACTTGTAAAGGTGTAAAATTGTAAAAGGGGATATATTACCTCATCTAAAGCTCAAAGTACACTAACACCCTCTCTCTCTCTCTCTCTCCCATACCTTTTCACTTTACCTCTTACAAATCTAAGCTGACACCAGCAGGAGGCTAACAGCGATGCTAGCAAGCACACACTGTCATCTGAGCAGTGTTCGCATAGCAGTGACAGCTAACAAGAGAAGACATCACATTAGCCGGCACGGCGGCGTGTTAGCAGAGCAGTTGCCGCCGCCGGAGCACCTGACTACGCTGATGTAGCTACAGGTGTAGAATTCATTCATGCTTAAAGAGTCTGACACTGGCAAGTGAGCAGCCGGCGGCGCACAAGCGGAACACCTGACAGCTGGTTAATGTCAATGTGCAGTCTTTTTTCTCAACAGCAGGAGAGGACACAGAGATACGGGAGGTGCATCAGTTTAGGCAGAGGTGACAGAGTGTGGTGGCCATTGACTTTTAGGAGTGGTTTGCTTCTTTATTTTCTTTTGGTTATCTGTATGCTTAGTTTTTATTGTCTTTGCTTCTGTTTTATACTCTTGTTGTCCATTATCTTCTTTGCATCTTTGTTTTGACTGTTTTTTTTCTTTAGTTGACTAATTTTACTTCTCTGTTTATTTCTTCCTAAAATGTTCTTTAAATTTCCCTCTTAAATCCTTGTTATGGTTCTTTTTGTTGTTGTTGATTTTATTGTTTTACATTTTTAACCTTATCTCTTTGTCATTTATTGGCTTGATGGGATAACTAATTGCAGAGAGTGACGAGAAACCTAGGAAAGAAAAGTGGGATTTTAACATCATGTTACTGTTGCATCTTTTGACTACTTCACCACTAGTATTCCCCAGATTTTTATTTTTCTTCATTTCTCTACCTCACTGTGCTTTGTCAATCGCTGGGTTTTCCCACGCTGATACATAAAAGTTCATCTCATGTTATTCATTTTTAAACCATCACAGATTGTAAACAAACAAAAGTTTTTCTCTCCTGTAAGGGTCACAGTCTGCAGCCCAGCTTCTCCATCTGCTTTCCCTGTACTGGTTTCACCAATCAAAGGGGTGTGTGTGTGTGTGTGTGTGTGTGTGTGTGTGTGTGTCGCCGGTGCTGCACCAGACCAGATTTTCTGGTGAAACAATAAGCAACATACTGATGATTAGAGCTTGGCGAATATTCGGCCAGAAATGAGTTTGTTTTGCGTGAAACAGGTGGCCACCCCCAAGCTAAATGTAGAAACAAAACCCCATTAACATGTCTGTGGTGGAGTGGAAAAAGCCTGGAAAACAGGGCTTTTGATGGAGAGAAGGTTGATGAGGGTGCAGTGAGCATGTTGTTTTCTCACAATGAATTTGTGTTTCCTAACAGCAATTCAGGTTTAGATACATATAGACACTTATCTCTGTTGATGTTGGTGTGCGTCTTTGTTTTACTTTGTGTTGTCTGTGTATGCACATGCATATTTTAGTTGTTCTCTTTTTTTTTTTTTTTTTTTAAATGTACTGTATATTTGTGTTTGTGTTTTCAGTTGTTGTGTGTGTTTGGACCTCATGCTGATAAAGGCCTCAGTGCCTGCCTTTGTTCATCTGACATTTCCTCATTAATGTAGTTTTCCCGCCCTCCTCGTCCTCCTCCTCCTTCCCCTCTGTTCCCTCCGTCCCCCCCACCACCTGGCATTCCCCACTCCTCTTCGCCTTCCTCCTGCACGTCTATCAACCATTCTGCTTTGATCTCTATCTCCTCAGTTTCCCCATCCCTCCTCTCCTTTCACCCTTTTCTATTTTCTTCCCCAACTGTCCTGCTCTGTCTCTCTTTCTACTACTTTCCTTACCCTCTTCTTTTTCCAATTTCTTCCTTTTCCTATTTGCCCCCATCACTCTTCAACCCTCATCTCATGCCATCCTTTTAACCTTCGTTTTCCCCTTCAATCACACATGGTTATCGGTTTGAAAGGAATGCATATGTACCATTTGGTTACTGAGGAAAATCTACAGTCCCGATAGTTGCAAAGGAGAAATTGAGCAACACTCAGTTCAGAAACTATCATTAAGATCCTGTTGAGAAAGGCATTTGGTCTCAGTAGAGTTGCTCAGTGACCAGTGGTCCAACTGTACATGAATGACAATGTGTTTTTGAGTTAAAACAGGATGGTCTGTCAGAAATGTCCCTCAAAATAACATGTTACATTAAAAATCCTTTCTCTTTTTTTGACCCTCTGCAGCAGCTGATGAGAGAGCGACAGCAGATGGCCAGCCGTCCCTTCGGTTCGGTTGCTGTAGTGCTGGAGGTGGGCGGTGACCAAGAGGAGCTGCTACAGGTCAGCAAAAAGATCCAAATATGAATGCACACAGAAACGCACACATATGGGAAATCATGTTGTGTTGGGGGAAACACACAGATACACACACACACACAACATGGTGATTGAGGGCAGTGTGTTAATTAACATATCCATATCTGCTGAAACAATGGCAGCTCTTGGCAAGTTTGACACTGAGACTTTCTACAGTTCTTCTACCAACTGCTTTGGGCCTCTCTCCTTCTGCCATGGCTGGTGTTGTGGCCCTGCTGTGGGTGTGTTATTGTGAGGGTGTGTGTGGAGAAGCAACAGGATGCAGATGCAAGCTTGGCTATTAAACACGAGACGCGACACTTGGTTTTATTTTTCGTTGGCCAACTTTTGATTTGAACCTCAAGCTGAGGTGATTTTTTTGTTTGCTTACTGGGATATAGAAAGATGGACTCCTAGGAGATTTGAACTGAGCCCACTGCTCCCTTCCCTCAAGGGAGCAGTGGGCAGAGAGAGTGTAAGGGGCCAGAGAAAAGAACAGAATCATATATTTTTTAGCTTCCCCTGAGAAGCAAAGAACACTAAAAACCACTGAGCAAAGTCTGTTGTGATCGGAGGTGAATGGAGTTGTCCATCAAAATGGTTCACGAAGACAGTTTGACATCATCTGGTGTGCTTTGAATGCCCAGAGCCAAGTCAGCATCAACCCATGTCAATTCAGAAAGAATGGCTGTGGTCATACACTGTTTTCTGATTAGACAATAACAAACACAGAGGACTGCAGTGGGTACAGTGGTTGCTCATTCTTTAACCTTATAAACACCATATAACCATATATTGTAGGAATAACGAGATGGGGCAGATGTTTTTTTCCTTTAAATGAACTATATATAGAAATCAAATTGATCTAAATATATATTTTTTTATAATATGCAGACTTGTTTTTTAAAAGATAACACTATTATTTGTAAACCTAAACTAGTCCAAAACTAATATTGTGTACAAAATACAAGTTGGCTATGCGGTAAACTAAAGTGAATATGTTAGTGTGCAGATGGTTTTCAGCTGCTCAATGTGAAATTCGTTACAGAGATTATCACATTTGTGGTCCATGGCATCCATAAATTGACAGAATGTGACACATGCTCACATGCGTCATAGTCAGTGTCTTTTTTGTGAAGCATTGACGTCTGCAAAAAAAAACAAGATGACATTAAACTTACTTTTGGAACCTCCGCTAATCGGGTGTAGACAAACACAGCTCAACAACAACATCCACATTAGGCCTCTGGGAGGTACTGATGTCAACAAAGGTGGAAGGCTGAGGGGAGAGCGTGCAGCTCGTTTCAGTAGCCCTCTTTTCACTTAGCTGTCCAGTGTGAGAACAGTGCTCTCTCTGTGATTCTCCGGCATGCTGGCACCTCACCTTCACCCGCCAGCCCTGAAGGGTCCTCATGAGGCAGTGTGGCTGGCGGAGTGTGGGCCCTGAGAGAGGCAGCTGGCTCCACAGCTCATATCAGCCTCTTGTACAAAGAGATTACAGAGCACATGCTGTAACATGACAGTGGCGCTTTCAGTGAAAGGGTAACCACCAAATCAGACGGGCGCTTCCCCTGCGGGGGAGTGGCAGGCACTTGTTCAAACGGTGGTGTCACCTCTGTTGTGAGATGCCCGTTCTCAATGACACACTCATGCAGGGTTTAAATAAGTAGAGGAGCGTGTAAGTTGTGGAGTGATCCTTTGTGAATAGCAAGTAGGCCCCAGTGTCCAGTGTGATGTTGGGACATGAAGATGTGGAGGTGTGAGAAAGTGATAGCAATCCAGCCTAACTTATGAATGTTGTTAAAAGTTAAGTTTTGTGCCCTTGAAGATTTGCTCATTATTTTTTAGGTTGTGGGTGTGAGCCAAATTGCCTTACCCAGAGCAGGAGGCATTGGGTAGATATATAATAGATACTGATACTACAATATCATAACACAAGGTCCATGAAACATACTCATTTGTCTTGCCTTGCCTTGATGTAACTCATTTCAATGTATTAATTATCCCTGATAGAAGGAACGCATTATGGGAAGTGAACTATTACCCCTGAGCCATCTCTGTCACTCTCCCACAGCCACAGTGACGCTCTGTGACAGATGTTCCAGGAGATTTGCAGCATACAAGAGGTCAACCAGTCTGAAAGAAAGCCAAGAGAACAATAACCCTCATTTATCAAACTGCATGCAGAAGTGCACGGATAGCTTTGTAAATCCTGAGGCAGTGATTGGATGATAGACCCTGTATTTCAGACTCAGAGGGATATTGAAAGTACTTCAGTTTAGATGCACAATTAGATTGACCCAATGGACTTTAACATGCACTCTGTGTAGAACAAAAACTAATAACATACAAGGATATTCATCCTGGCTGCCTAATTCTGTGTACCCATTCAGAAATGCATCTGATTCAAACGACTGCGTAACAATCTTTTATAGCTGACAGCGGTGGAATAGTTCCCCCTCCCTTTGTAGTCGGAGCTGGATCATACTGTCTATTAATTAAAATTTTCATTATGTGAGAAAAGATGTTGTTTGGGATCTTGGCTTATCATAATGTTGCGACGCAGCAGAAATGTTTTTTTCTTTACATCAAGCGATTCAACTTCCTAAATGTATTACACAAACTCGTTTAATGAACAAACAATACCTCGGTGTCTGTCATTGTATTCACATAACTAATTACTATTTCACTTGAGTGTAACTATCGTCTGAAACCTTCAGTAGTTTGTTTAATTTAGTGGTAGTATCAGGTGGGAGATATTCTCTAAAATTCCACCTCCACATATCTCGCCTCTCTGTTTGAAGTTTCATCTCCTCACACAGTTTGTGCTGAAGGTTACAGAGACAATGGTGTTGGAAGGCTATCTGCACACATGCTTAATTAGTTTTAGCTCTGTTTCGACCAGGTTGGACTCGGCTCTGCTCAGTTCGGTTCATGTGCCTCAGGAGTACCTTCCCTTATCACTGCCTCAGCCTGGTTTCCATTTCATTCTTGAAGGTGAGAGACAATAGGGCAGAAAGCTATCTTCACACTGAGGTTAATTACACAACATCTGGTTCATAGTCAAGCATGCAGCTTAGCGTAATTGTGTAATGAATGAGGGAAAGGGAACATTTCCATGCTGCCCCGCTATTTTATGTTGTCCCGCTTATGCAGCAACAGAGTATGGTTAAACAAATTGTCATCATCACCTCATTTCATGCTATGTTTAGACAGCAAGCAAGGGACCTGTTGTTTCCACACTCACACAGTGATTTGGTCTGCACAGGAAGGATGGGGAGGTGTGTGAATTAGATGATGATGATATAATTACATGGAAAGGAGTGTGGTGCAATTTGATGGAGGATTCATGCATCATAAATGGCGAGAGTTGTGCTTTTTAAATATTCGTTATATCTGTATTTATTTAGATTTCCCATTTTTATACGTATATTCCATCAGTTGGTGTCTCACTGCACTTTGTGCATCTAACAGCCGTGAGTCGTGTTCACTGCAGCGATTTTACACATGAAATCTCTGATGGCTTACATGGAATAGTTATGGCTCACAAGCACAAACAACACTGTTGTTATGAATGTTTATGATGAAGTGGATCTATAATTAATAATATAAAGTCACACCTATTCCTCTTAACATTTAATTTTGAAATTAAACATTATCCACATGAGTTATTTAATTAAACTATTGTGGTGGACATAATGTCACAACATGTTGATGCTGAGCATATCAGTAAAATGCTAACTGACAATGTATTTAATTAGTTTTCCTTAATTATTCATCAGTTATCTGAGAAATTCAAACCCAAGTCTCCATTGTTAAAAGTCCAGTGTTTTGTATGCCCAACTTACAGCCCGACCACCTCCCCACAACTTAAAACAAGCACTTCTTTCACATGAAAACCGCCAGGCAGCAACTGCATTTCCCAGAACGTAATTGGGAAAACAGATTAGTGTTATATAAACATAATGTCTAGCAGACAGGGTTGACATGTAAGCATGTGTGCTCATATATATATATACACACACACATAAACATACTGCACTGTTCTGTACTGCCCGCCACTTATCTGATTCTTGATTTATGTCCTCTCTAACCACATTGGTTTGCCGTATGGGACAAATACTGTATATTCTTGCACAGTTGAAGGCGCCTTCATCCACTGCGCTTCCCTTCTTGAGTTTCCTTTCAGAAGCTGCATGCCGCAGTGTCTGTGTTCAAACCACAAATCATTTTCCTCCGCTTCTCTGTAAGAACAAACACTTTTAGTATCCATCACAGAACCATGTATAAATTCATGCGAATGTGTGGTGTGCTTAGACTCTCTGCACACATAAAGGATGAACTTAAAATGCTCTCCAGGCGGCTTTCCTTCAAAGACATCTTTTCTGTCGTCTGAAGACACAATTATAGGTACTCTTGGAACAAGAGCCTTGTATCATTTCTTTTTGAAGAAAGTTTTCACATGGTAAGGTGTCTGGGCTCTGTTAATCTCTTATAATGATACAGACACAAGTGTCACAGCTGGAAAGACTACTTTTTGGTCCTCTAAAGACTTGCAATTATGCTCTTTAAAGCAGAGGGAAAAACAGTCGGTGTTGTAAGACAGTTTTCACATTGCAAGGTAGCTGGGATGGGTTAATGATACAAACTACATGTGACACAGTTGGAAGGAAATGTGTTGGCCCGTGCAGTTTCATCCAAACTCTTGTAAATGATCTGCTCTGTTTCAAAGGGATGAAAACTCAAACTCTACCCATTCAGGAAAAAACAGAAACCATGAAATATTTTTACAGTTTCTCACTTTATGGGACTTCTTTTGTAATAGTTATGTTTTGCAATATGCAGCTGTCAGCATTTTCCACTTTGTGATAACAATTTGAATCAGATTCTTAAGAGTTAGATGAGATGACCCAACCTTAATCTGGAGATCACCTTTTGGGAACTGACACAGTAGCATAAATCTTTATCTTCTTGACATTATTTTT